GCTCACCTGCTGCATGTAGGCATCTGGAAGTAGCTGCTGCGGGTGCTGCTGGGAGTGCAGCTGCTGTAGCCTCCAGTCCCCCTGCTGCAGTTGCTGCAGGACCCTGTGCTGCTGAGGTGGGCCTGGACCCAGCAGGACTTCAGGGCCATTTCCAGGTCTTAGTGCCCCTAAAATAGGTTTCCAAAACCTTACATGAATATACTAACAATTTCAATAAAATGACCAGATTTCAAAACACTGATTTCAATAATCATTTAACTAAGGCATTTGTATCCTTACTTTATAACAGAAAAACTTCCATATGTATATATAGTCTATGGGGATTATTTACTGTATTTTAAGTACCCAGGAAACTTACTTTTGTCACCTGTTAACTCTGAACAAGTGAACATCTCAGAAACACCTCGTGTTTCATCTCTCTATGGAGACACCAGCCATATCAGTTCATTCCACATTTCCCAAGTACATCATGTACTATTATGAGTATGTACTACTACCAATATGATTCTCGGTAGAAAATGCCATTTTCCTCCTACTGAAAATTCTTCGTATTCCTGAAATTCAGCCTGAGATCTCTCTTCCTTGTTCCTTCATCTAACACCTCCACTCATTTCAGTCTATCTTGTGCATATTAAGGGCTTATGTGGCTATTTCCTAACCAGGGACCCTGCAGGAAAGGGCCTGTTGTCTATTACAGTCCCAAAGAATCTTTTTTTTTTTTTTAGATACAGAGTCTCACTTTATCGCCCTCAGTAGAGTACTGTGGCAGCATCACATCGCTCACAGCAACCTCCAACTCCTGGGCTTAGGCGATTCTCTTGCCTCAGCCTCCCAAGTAGGTGGGACTACAGGTGCCTGCCACAACACCCAGCTTTTTTGTTGCAGTTTGGCCGGGGCTGGGTTTGAACCCACCACCCTCGGTATATGAGGCCGGCGCCTCACTCATTGAGCCATAGGCGCTGCCCTCAAAGAATCTTTTATATAACAGATGTTCAATAAATGCTCACTGCTATTAACACTGCCTCCTAAATGGATTATTTATTTATAAGCTCCATAAATTTTATACTAGGCAAATTCTCAATATTTGAAATTAACAAAAAAGACACACAGGTTAAAAAAAGAGGAAAGGTAATACACTTGCACGCTGTATTTCCACATTCTCTTCCAATGACTTATCCTAAAGTCAAATGAAACTACTCAATCTTAGAGAAAAAAAAATAAGTGAAGGGAGAGTACAAGGAGGGGGACGAGGGCTCTGTTTTATCAGTGTTAGTATATTATCTTCAGACCTCCTCAGGCCTAAGAGTAATATCACTAGAAAACAGTTTTGTAACTATTTCTAAATCCTCTAATTATAAAAATATGCATGTTTGTTTTAATTATCCTTTGAAAATATTTATAAAATATAAAGTAGAAAATAAAAATCACAATTTTATCATACAGATCTAAGCACCTTTCAGCTGTGTTTCTTTCCAATGGAAGAATATTAAAATAACTACTCAAAAATCATTCCCTTTATACATTCAGTAAGAGCAATCCCTTAAATAACTTACAGGTTAAAGAGAAACTCAAACTGTTTTTATTTTTTTATAATAGTTAAAGAAATGACCATGGGAGAACAATATCAAAATCTGTGCTAGGCTAATTCCCTCAAAGTATCACAAGAATGGAAGAAAAAGTATCCAATGTACACACCCCTATTATGAAACTAATTTATAGCTTTCATATGAAAGCTATAACCTAATTACACCCTAAGAATATGGGGAGGGGGAAGGGACGGAAGGGGGTGGATGAGTGGAGGGAGGGTGACTGAAGGGATCACCTCTGTGGATTATCTTTCAAGGGTACAAGTGAATCTTTCTTTCTTTCTTTTTTTTTTTTTTGAGACAGAGCCTCAAGCTG